ATAGATAGATAGATAGATAGATAGATAGATAGATAGATAGATAGATAAAACAGTGACAGAGCTGGGTGTTGCTGACTGTGTAGATGGTAGAACAGGCGTTTAAAGTGTGTGAAGCCTTGAGTCTGACTCAGCAGCAGCACCATCAACAAATGCAAGACAAAGCAGGTGAAGGCAAGAGAAAAAGGCTCACTGTATTAGTCTTTAATTGTCAAGGAAAAAAACACATGACTACAGAAGGCAGCGGCATGGAAGACTTGCTTGACAAGCTATATCTGCTTCCCAAAGTTTTAGAACCAGTCTTGACTGGCTTGGAAGTTACTCATTGGTATCTGTTTTCCCATGCTTTGCTATCTATCTCACGTGTCTGAACCAGCAAGCCTGTCCATATATGAAGTACAGATATTAGCCTGCGGCCTGTAGCTCAGCTCTCCAACCCTGCTTCCCTTCACGCCCCTTCACTACTTCTGATTGAAAACAGTTCACACAAATGATTTAAATCTAAGAACTATGATAATGATGGGATTGCAGATGTGCTCTGAGCCTGGCTTCCCAAGCACCACTTCATACTATGACTTTTACATTATGGGCAGATCAACTGTTTTCAGGACATTTGGGTATTATAGTATTTTAATGAAAACACTCTCTCTAGGTCCAAATACTTGAAGTTGTGAATCTTGGATCTGGGTAGGTGCTGCTGCTTTGGGATGTTACAGAACGTGTGGGAGGATGCACGTCACATCACTGGGGATGGGATGAGGCTCACAGCCTGGCCCCACTGCCAGTTTGCTCTCTGTTGTTTGTGGCTCAAGAAGAGATCTCTCAGTGTTCTCCTACTGTCCGGCCTTCCCCTCCATTACAGACTCTCTTTTGAAACTACAATCCTAAATAAACTCTATCTTTAAGTCTCCTTTGGTCATGGTGTTTTATCACAGCAACAGAAAAGTAACTAATGCAGGTAGCTTACTTAAAATCTGTATGTCTGACTCTGATTGTTGTTCTAAGATAAATTCTTAGAAGTGAAAATTAGACAATTTAAACATTGTGCTGAAGAGCTCTGTTGCTCCTGCCAGTAACAGAATCTCTTTTCCAGTGCCAGTGTCCACACACTGCAGGACACAGACTTCTATAGCTCTAGAATGGCAGCACCCCAGGCTTACCTAACAACTGGGCATTTTAGTTAAATGATAGCAGCAGAAGGCCCGCTTTCCTGCACGTCTTCACAGTTTGTTAACTAGCATTACTCTGCTGGTGTTAGCACTCTGCCACAGTTGGTAGGTCGTTTTCCATACCCATTTGTGGTGATTTGACTTGCATATTTTGGTGCCATTTCCAATAAGAGTCTTTGAATTATTTACTGGCTTGTAAAGGCTTTTTAAATTTGATGTGGATTTTAATCTTATGTGTTATAGCATCTTTCCTAGTTTCTAACTTAGTTCTGTAACTCTTTTTAATTCTTTAGTATATAAAATGTCACGTATAAGTTACAGGAGAAGGAATAGTATAGCGAGTCACATGGACACATTTCTAAATTTACTTATTAATGGCAAGTTTGGCTCCATACTGTTTGGGCTTGTTTTTTTAATCCAGTGAAGTATCATCTTTGTCAAATTATTTTGAGAAATATATTGTCTTTTCTCCTTTCTTTTGCCATTTAGAAATAACTCCTTTTCTTAAAACAACAACAATGACAAAAACCTTCTTTCTTTCCTTTTTTTCCTGCCTCCCTTCTTGGTTTCTCTTGAGTACATGCTCTTCCTGCTTCAGCCTCTCAAGCAGAGACTCCAGGTATTGTGCAGCGCACAGCTGGCTCCTGGCGTCATTTACTAAATGCTTCTCCCCGTTACTGCTGTTTCAAACCAGAATACTGATTCTTAATATCAAAATAGCTTCTGGGTTCTGCTCTGTGAAACTCATTTGTTTATTCATGTGCAAGCTCCACAATTTTAATTACTTGTTTGTAATACAACATAGATTTCAATAACTAAATCTTTAAGATTTATTATTGTCTCTGTGTGTATGTCCAAGTTTCTGAAGAGGCCAGAAGAGGGCACTGGATTCCCTGTCAGTGCTTAAGTTACAGGGGTGAGGTGCCCCAGTGTAGGGGACGATGACCTAAACTTCTACAAGAGCAGTATGCAGTCTTACCAATGAGACACTGTCCAGTCCCTGCCTAAATCTCAGCTCTTACTCTGTTGCTGCTTTGAGAGAGGGCCTCACCCTCTTGTAGCCCAGGTTGTCTGGAGCTTCCAACATTTCCACACAGAGCATTATATATAAAAACGACATGATTACAATTGGCCTCTATACAACTTACCTGGCTGCACTTTTTAACAACATCTGGTCCAGGGATGGCATTAGTAAGAGCAATAATAAGGTAGCGATTCAGTAGCTTCCCCAGTCCCAAATCTTGCAAGGTGTCATCTGGGAGAAGTCCACTCCAAAGAAGAATATTTTGGAAAAGCTAAAAGAAAACACCAAGTAATTATGTGTGTCCTCCCTAGCAGCTATAGTGGTAAAGAAAGAGCTGGTCAAGCTCCTCCGTTCTTACTAGTTGGCCTTGTTGTATGTGTCAGCTTTGGAATAGAAAGAAATCCCCAAGTAAATACCTGACTCTCGCCTCCATGCATGTGTTCATCCTATTTCCACTCATGGGTAACAACACCATTCTGCCCCATGTAACTCCATTGATCCTCTCCAGATCAATGCCCCACTGTAACCCATCCTTCCTATTGTCTGGGCCCACTAAGTCTAAGACTGTGGTTGCCAGGATCAGAAAGCACTGTCAAGGCTAGTGCCCGTGTGTAGGAAGCCAGGCAATGCCAGAAACCTCACTGCTGATATGTAAAACAGGACCACGCATGTGTCTGCTGATAAAAGAGGATGAAGTGCCCTGCAGTGAGAACTACAAGTAAATACAGGTTTTAGGTGGAGGGCTGAATTCATAGGTTTCTGTGAGTTGTCATTCGAATTCTGAGTCTTCTCCTAGTATTCTGAGTACTGAATGACACGTACCATACTTTGCACTGCCATTGGCTTCCCTGCCTGTCTGGGAAAGCATCTTCCTGACTTGGCCATGATACACATACACTCGAATTGCTCCTGCTAAGGACATTTATGTCCTGTATTCTCAAACATGATGGACATTTCAGTACCCCGTGATCCTTTATCATGGCGTTTCAATCACAATTTCGTTCCTGGGCTCATTGAGGCACAAAAGTTCACAATTCATTCCATCTCCACAGTTCTGTGCAGCTTACTACATCCAACACTGACTTCTCAATCTCTCAAGCTGCATCCTCCTACATCCCTGCAACCTCTAAGACACAGAAGCACACGGTGCCGGCACCTGGCACTTTATGATAGCCTTTGTTCTTCGCCAGCAGTGCATCACTGTGGAGTCCCTTTGATGCTTCACCCGAAGAAAGGTCGGAACCGCCCTTATCATTTCTACCTCCACCGACTTAGATTCGCCTTAACTGTAGCTTTTTGACCACTGGGTCACTGAGATTAAACTTAACTTTTTGACCACTGGGTCACTGAGATTAAACTTAACTTTTTGACCACTGGGTCACTGAGATTAAATTTAGCTAGAGGCTTTTGTAGGGTCCACAAGACAAGAACAGCTTTTACATTTTTAAAGGACATTTCAAAATATTCAAAAACAAAAGACTACAGCTGAGCACGGTGGTATACACCGTTTACTGCAGTGCACAGAAGGCAGAGGCAGGAAGATATACCATGGAGTATAAGATCAGTCTGGTCTCCATAGCAAGTACCAGGCCAGCCAAGGCTACGCAGTGAGACTGTCTCAACCAACACAAAACAACACGACAAAACAAATTCAGCACAGAATATTTTTAATATGTGATGTTTGAATTTCAGTGTTGGTAAGGAAAGTCTATCCAGACACAGTTCATGTGTTTATATACTGATGGCCTGTTAGTGTTTTGTACTCTAGTGGCAGAGTGGCGTAGTTCAACACATACTAATTAGCTGCAAAGATTAATATAGACACATTTTTAAAGTAGTATTCTGCTTACCTTTAGAGCTCCCCAGAACTGTCTTTCTTGGAACTTGGAGTGTGGTGACATTTTTCCTTCTTCAGAGCTAACGGTGGACCAGTGAGGAGGGGAGGAAGAAATAGAGAGAGGGGAGGGGATACATAGGACCATTATTCTTTCAGAAGAAAGCCTCAAAGGTAGGACTCTCGTTTGTTTTGAATTCTGTGTCCATTTGTATCTCCGTGTGTGGTTTGTACACAGGTGCCGTGGCTACAGAGGCTGGAAGAGCCATGGGAGACACTGGAGCGGACTCCAGCTGGTCATGAGCTGTCCAACCTAGGTGCAGAGAATCAAACTCCAGTCCTCTGGGAGAGCACTGCACACTCTAACCCACCAAGTGATCTCTCCAGGTCCCTGTTGTTTATTTGTTTGTGTGAATTAATCAACTAAACAGTCTAAATGAAAAATGAATCAAGGGACTCTGATGGTATCTCCCAAGAATTACAAATGCATCCACACTCAGCCAACAGTGGGTTTCTGCAAGTGAGTTTTGTAGATATGATTGCCTTTGCACAGTTTGCTTATAATCTCATTGCTGATAAGAGATTACCACTCATGTGCTGGTTAGTTACAGGACACCAACATGCTGGTACTGGGTGGTTTTGTGTGTCAACATAAGCTAGAGTCAACAGAGAGGAAGGAACCTCAATTGAAGCACTGGCTTCATGAGATCCAGCTGTAAGGCATTTTCTCCTAAGTGACCAATGGAGGAGGGCCCATTGTGGGTGGTGCTATCTCTGGGCTGGTGGTCCTGGCTTATATATAAGTAAGCAGGTGGAGTAAGCCACTATGCAGTATCCCTCCATGGCCTCTGCATCAGCTCCTGCCTCTAGGTTCCTGTTCTGACTTCCTTCAATGAGGAACAGAAATATGGATGCTTAAGCCAAATAAACCCTTTCCTGCCTGAGTTACTTTTTAGTCATGGTGTTTTGTTGAAGCAATAGAAACCCTAAGTAGGACAATACCTATTGAGGAATTTTTAAAAAGCGAAGAAACTTACTGAAGGATAGCTGACTTCAACTACCTACTAAGTAAAAAAGGTACAAAACTACTTGTACCTGCTTATAATATACTTCACCTGCTATACATGGAGAGGGAAATAAGGTCACAGCAGAGATAATGTAAATGGCAAAATCTACACTCAGAAGTCTAAGAGTAAATAAACTTAATTTTAGGGATTGGAGAAATAGTTCGGTGATAAAAGCACTTGCTGTTCCTGCAAAGGACATAGTTTAGTTCCAGGCACCCACACAGTAGCTCACAACTGCCTGTAGTTCCATCTTTATGGAGCCAATGCTCTCCTCTGACCTCTGCAGGCACCAGGTGCTCATGTGGTACACACATGGTACGCCCACATGGTACAAACATACACATAGACAAATGCTCACAGTATAAAATTAAAAGCAAACAACCCTTTTTTTAATTTTAAAGATACATTTGATTTTAGTCAAAAGGGTCAGAAACAACTGCCTTAAATATAAATAAACTGCACTCATATTTTGAACCATGTGAACATATTAGTTACCTAAAAGAGTACAAAACAAAACTTGTGGGACGTATTTTTATTTGCAAGTATCTTATCTCTTCCTGACTCAGATAAATCAGGAAGCTCAAAGTCCTGTCCCATGACCCCCAATTTCCATCCTGGGAGTATCATTGGCTACAGTTCAAGGACGGCCTGAGCTACATCAGGCAGTGTCTTACACCATCCTACTCCCCGCAAAAGAAAAGCTATTTTAAACAGTATAAACATGGAGAGCTCTTACCTCTTTGGGTATAGAGGAATAAAAACATCATCTTCTACTGACTTCTTCATTCTTGCAACAACAGATTTAAGTAACTCCTATTAAAAATTTGAAAAGTATCAGCAAGCCATAATTGGAAATACAATAACTAAATTAAGTAATTTTAATGGTGCAAATTGGTCTGCAGTTAGAACCAGATGTTACAATACTTTAAGAAACTTAGGAGATGCATGGGATTGTCACTAAATCATTTTCACTGCTATACTGCATTTTGTTGCATGAATACTACTCATTAGACATTTGATGGTTTCCAATTAGGGGGTTCATTGTGCTTAATGATGCTAAAAAATACCTTGCCGAAGTCTCAGTGTGTGCAAGAACAGTTACTAGGTATACACAATGAAATGGAATTGCTGGAATACAGCTCATGACCTTGTATTCAACTTGTACAGAATGATAAACTAAGATGGTAGTAGCTGATACCAGAAACCCGGTGGCTGGAGATCATAGACCTGGGGCAACCTTCCCACTATGGTTTAGCTAACTGACGTGGTTATCAAACTACAGCCTAGATATTTATGTTTATCCCCATAGACACATGCTACTCACACTTAACCAGAGAAGCTTGTCTTTGCAGTAAACAATGGTAAATGCAGACACCCACGTGCTCAGCACTAAATAGTACACTTCTACCACCCTCTTTAAGGAATGCCGTGGAAGAGAGAATGGAAAGAAAGAGCAGAAGACAGGGAGAAGAGATATGAAATGCTATCTTCAGGATATGGCTGGCACAGGCATTGCAAACATGAGATCTGAGCAGCACAGGCTGACTACACAAGACTGGGCTGGTCAAGAGCCAGTCATCGATTGGAGAGGCCACAGGGTCCTAGCCCTCCCTGATGAACTACTGGCAACTGATGGATTCCAGGGAAAGGACAATTACTGGAGTCCATAAGGCTAGAATAGATAGTTCTAAATCCATGGGCACACATAGTCCTGGGTAGAATCAGATGGTCACAAAACAAAACAAAACGATGTGAACATAGAAATGGACCTGTGAGAGGAGGAGGAGAAGAGATGGGTGTGTGTGGGAGAAAGAGGTGAGGGGGCTCGACAGTAAGCAATGTACTACATACACATGAAATGGTCAAAGGACGAATTGAATCAATAAAGAGTAAAACAAGAGAAAAGCCAGAGCAACAACAAAACCCAATAGTAGTGTCCCATTTGTTGTACTAGCTGTGTCTAAGGGGAATCCTGCTTTCTTCCAAGCATGGTGGCACATGTTGGTAATCTCAACACAAGGCAGGCAGATCTCTGTGATTCCAGATTCCAGGGCAGTCAAGGTTACACACCTGCCATCCTTACTGCACCTTGTTTCCCCCCCCCCCCCCTTTTTTTTTTTTTTTTACTATTTGCAACTCTGGGGATGTAGTCCCATCTCAATTTTCCTGAAGAACAGGGTTTTATTTCTTTTTCCACTTAAGTATAAGTACCATATATCTTAAGAGCCCTATATCAATTTTTAGAACATTAAGAACAAAACTCAAATTTAATTTTACCCCATCCTTTAAATTCTTTGAATTCCGACTTTCTAGGTAATATCCCCACACAATAGAATCTGAGAATGTATACATTATTTTATTTACTTTTGTGGTATTGGAAATTGAACTCAGGTCTCAAGCATGCTAGGCAAGCACTCTCACTGAGCTAAGACCCAAATCTGCAGCTATCATTACCTGTTTGTTTTTACTAACTTCATTTTCAGAAGCGAACTGTTCAAAAGCCACTCTGCAGTGCATTGTTAAACTTCTTGTCTGTGAGGTTGACAGGGGATCCCAAATGATCTCTACAAAATCTGAAACACATTTCAGTGGTTATACAAGTTGCTAGATCATGTACAGATAACCAAAGTCTTCAGCATATCCTGTTCCACTCCATATTAAAGTTAAAACCCATGGCTAATCATGACATTTCTTATTTGCATATACTCCAAATTTCTATCATTACCATTTACTCTTTGCATACACCCTCAATATTTTTCCTCCTTGGGTTTTACTATACCTGTCAGGTTAACCTACAACCATTGCTAAATTCACCTTCACACTAACTCTTCCTGTAATGTGCAGCTAAAATGTAGCTTTAAAGAAAGGTATACCAAACTAAATTCCCAAAATTCAAGTAAGCCTCCATGTTAGGCAGCAATTACTTCCCCTGGCCTGCTTGCTTGCCTGTTTGATTTTCTGGTTCTTACTTTCAAGTTGAAGGATCTCTCTACTTCCTTCTTCTCCCTGCCCTCATGAGTTTGTATGCATGTTGACATGTGTGTGGGTGCTTGACTCTGTGCATATATATGTGTGTGTGTGTGTGTGTGTGTGTGTGTGTGTGTGTGTGTGTGTGT